CAGTGTGTGTTGCTAAATAAATCCTGACAGGTGGATCAGGACCCTTATGCAAATTGGCTACTTATTTATTTATAAATAAATGAACATGAAAGATTGATTTGAGCTTAAATAATTTTTTTATTTGAGCAAAAAGAGACAGCAGAGTGGTTTAAGAGACTACACTGTTAAGAATGATTTTTTTCAGAGCTGTAAATAAAAGATTACTGGAGTACGTTTTACAAGAAAATACCATCTTTCTACTTCAAAATTTCATGTTTAATAAAATTGTGCTACTTTTCTATTTATATATTTATTTATTGCAATTGTTTGTGAAATGTATTAGCAATTTCTGAGTGAAAATTGTTTCATGATATTCCCAAAAAATAAATTCTGGGAATATCATGAAAGCATGAATGGGGTCAATTACACTGAAAAAAATTACTTGAATTAAATTTTATTTATAAGTATTTGTAGCATTTACCAGCAATTTCTGAGTGAAAATTGAGTGAAAAACACACACAAAAACAGTTAACACATTTAATTAGACATAAGTAGTAAAAAGACTATATTAGTATTTTCTTAAACATTGTACTTCAATAATACTTGTTATAGTAAATACTGTTTAGTGTTCTTTATGCAAAAAAGGCAATTTCAGAATGCTGTGTTTGACCATTAAAACCAAAAACTGAAATTAAAACCATTAAATAATGTTTGTTACTTGAAATAAAATATTTATGTGTGTGTGTGTGTATGTATAAACTACTGACAATGACAAAAACACAAATTACTAAAATTAAAAAGAAAACAGAAAATTATATACAAAAATCTGTTTAAATAAAAACTGTAATACTATCAAAATGATATTAAAATAACACTGTGAAGTATTCCCGAGAACCTTCTAACAAAAAGCTCTGGAAACATCCAGTAAACAGTTTCTCTTACTATACTATTACTATATAATGTAGGTTATACTCATACAGTATAACCTTCTTAATACCCATCTGCCGAAAATCTGCAGAAATGATCTCTCCCTCCCGTCGCTCTACTCTGTGGGGTTGGCATGTTGTTTTGTTCGGCTTGCACATTGCATACAAATCTGATGCAACCCGCTGTAAACGCTCAAATTCTTTCACTCCGTGCATGCGTGTGTGTGTCTGCGTCTGTTGTCTTGTTGTGTGTCGTGTGCCTCTCTGTCTGTTTCCAGAGCTCACACCGGACTGACAAGCAGCAGATCACTAAGTGTAACAAAACACTGTTTAATAATTCAGACAACCCCCTCCCTCTCTCGCTCTCTCTCTCTCTCTCTCACACACACACACACACACACACACACACACACACAAATCCCTTTAAGTCTCCATGCGTTTGGATCTCTCTGACGGGAGGCTGCTCTTTTTGTCTCGTCTTGTCTTTTATCCGCTCACACACTCTCAGATGAAACCAGAAACGGGGCAGAAGAGCTATTGGGAGTGTGTGTGTCCATCTACAGTCTGTTCTTCCCTCAATTTTAGATACCAGGTCATTGAATTCCAGTTTAAAGCTTCTCCGAGAATCCCAACATGGGCTTTTTTTTGCCTAATAGGCTCCTATTTGAACGTAATCATCATTTGGCTTGACATGGATCCCTATAATCTAGATCCGAATGTCCAGCTTCCCGTTACGAGGAAGATGAAGGCATTTTTCCTCCAGTAGCTCTACACAGGATTGCAGTGTCGTCGGACAGGTGGAGTTGTCAGGTGTGTGTTTGATTAATGAAGGGCTGGAGGTGTTTAAGCATTCGTATTGGGCATGCACCGTTGTTTTTGCTTTTGGTCCACAAAAAATTTCCCACAATTCCATAGGACCAATCAGCACGACTTTTTTCCTCACTCAACTTTTCGCTCAAAACTAGCTGAGACTAACCTCGACATCTGTCCAAACATGTCTGAAATTATTTAAAACAACAAACCCTGCCGTACATTTTATTATTCGAGCAACAACGGTCGTTTTTTTTTAACCAGGGCAAATTCATTATAGGGTTTCTTCTCACTTTCCCCCTCTGCCTACATTTGTTATCCTTGTAATCATTTTTGACAAAACATTCACCCTTTTAATTAAATTCATAAGTCGACACAGCTTTATCTCTCTCAGCGGTCGGGTCGGAAACCAGATTACTCTGCTGTCACAGATTTCTCTTGCTCTTTTCCGGACACTGAATAAAAAAGCTTTTAAAATCGTTAAGGCACTTAAAGACTTGAAATTGCGTGAAAACAAACTACAAAGGGAGAAAAGATGTGAGAGATGTGGCCAAAGGAAAGATTTTTAGTCTGTTCATTTTGTTTGGTTTATAATAAATGTAGTTATATAGTTTTAATAATTTAAAAATAACAGATTTTTCTAATTCATTTTCAGTTATTTTCAAATGTCTTGAAACATGAATAGTAATTAAAAGAAAAAATATATAGTTATAGTAATATAGTAAGTATTTTATATAAATGATGTAGAATAATATATTTTTTAATGGAAGAAAGGAAATATTTTTGGTCTACTAATTTTACTTTTTAGTATTTTTGATAACTGAAAAATTTGTGTTTTTCATTATTTTGAGTGATTTTCAAATGTCTGAAACATGAGTAATTAATAATAGTAAGAATTAAAGTAAATGAAATATAATATAATGTAATGTAATGTAATATAATATAATGTAATATAATATAATTTAATATAATATAATATAATATAATATAATATAATATAA